GTTCTTGGATTGCAAAACCGTCAATAAATATTGAACGTGTAGCATTTTCAAAACGCGACCCATTTCGTCAGTACATCTACTCTCATAACGCCGACATCGAAAACGTATGCATTCTGATTTCGCTCTCGCCGCTTAAAACCATTCAAAACAAATTGAAAATATTTAAATTAACATTGGAAATTGTTGTTGGATTATGGAATGCATTATATCGTCGCTGGAATAATGAAATAGTGTAACATGAAAAGTATAGTTTTCAGAAAAACGAGTTGGAAGTTTTTATAAACCATTACAAACCATACAAATACAATTTCGTTTTTCGGGAATAAATTAGTGAGCCAAAGAGATATTTAAGAAAACTAAAGATTTTTCAATGGCTGCGTTTCTTTATACATTCCGGATAATCCCATTTCACAGCCGGAATAAACAGAATACGTTTGAAATATACGTCAACATATCATCAGGAACGTTCTAAAGAATAAATAAACAAAAAAGTTTATTCCAAACGTTCACAATGAATAAAGAAATACAGCCAATATATTAAAGGATTGTCTATCCAATGGCGCAATTATCGAATAATAGTGTATGTGGCATTTACACTGTTTCTTTATTCGAGCGACGATATATAAATGATTTGGTAAAAAATTAAAGTATGTTCTTGCGATAAATATTGAAGGTGTAGCATAGCAGAGGGTGGATCATGAAGCATCAATATGGATCACGACACTGGATCGCGATCCGTATTGATCGTGAGACAGGGCACATAATTCAATAGGATTCCAATATGGTTTCCATTTGATTAGATTCGTTAAAAGATTTTGGAAATTTTTCTCCATCCGGCAATCTCAAATATTTTCTTCGAAAGTATGGCAACACTGTTTTTTTAACTAAAGGTGTGAAAGAGAACATTATATACCTGAATAGAATTTAATTCACAAATTTCGCTGACAACGCGTTGCATTTTCATTTTTTCACAATCGTGCTAATTCCAGTCTTTTAGCAAGGTGATTATCAGTCATAAAAATATTTGGAATGCAAACACTTTAGCAGAAAATAGTTAATATTTAATATAACAAGAAGGCTAGTTCGTAAGTAGTATTTAAATCTTGTGAAGATATGTGAGGCACTTGGTTAAAAAGCGTGTAACTTGTTGATGGCGCCCATTTGTAAAAGGCAAGGCCATGGCATAAAAAGCATTGAATGATGTTTTATTGAGATTATAAAAACGATACAAATTTGATTGGATAATTTTTGGTGACGCCAAATTTTGATAGCATTTCCTGGGGTAACTGCGCTCAGAGTGTAACAAGTTTTTCTCCTCAATTTCTTGTATAACATATTTGATGCTAACTAGCTTTAATTTCGACTTACAGAAATCTATAATAAAATTGGCAACTGGCACAAATTTGATAATCAATAAAATCCCAGCAACTATAAAGCCTGCAATTATGAAGCGTAGCAGCACATCCTCAATTGGTAAGCTTTTACGATATGATATCTATAGTTTTTATCTACAAGCTCTTACTTTCAGAAACTGCATATAAATCGCCCAAATATTCATTGCAAACTATTGCTAGCGCGGGCACGCCACTCACCAGCTTTCAATGGCAGCAGACTATTGGTGGTCCCGGGGGTACAACTATTACAACTACACCAAGTAAAAAGCAGCAAATTGGCGCTGCCATTAGCTCGCTGCCGCCCAATACAATTATACAGGCGACCGGCGGTGGCTCATCATCGCATAGCAATAATGTCCAAACCAATGGTGGCATTGGTTCCACCATTACATCGGCTAGTAATGCAACCACATTTAATGCGGTCACTTCGCAAGGCACAACCTTGCAGGTGCGTCGTCCCACTTTTGTTATAAAACGGGAGCTACCCAAACGCACTATACGCTGTGTAACGCTTGAATTGATTGAAAAAAATCCATATGTACACTTGGGTGTGCTTTCTAATCGTTTGCCATTGCTGAAGAATGTTATCTGTACTACGGCTGATGTGCCACTACTCGATTGTTATGTCACTCTTAAGAAGCTACGTCAAAATGAGGAATTCGCTTTACTATCCGAATATTTTGAGCTAAGCGAAACTGAAGCTCAGCAGATTTTTGCACGCACCATTGTTAAGTTGGCTCGCTATCTGCGTTATTTGGTGCGTTGGCCCAACAGCAAAAAATACTATGATCGTCATAAAAATTTGCCTTTTGCATTTCGTCCAAATTTATCGCATGTACAGTCGTTGATAGAATGCGTTGAGACGGATATCCAGCAGCAAATTCAAAATGATTGTAGCAATTACAAATTTATTCTAAGCATTACGCCAAATGGTGAGTATAAACATACACACATGGTATGTACATGTTTTGAACAAATTAAAGTAACACAAGTGTTAACCAAATTTTCCACAGGCATTATTTCATACATTTCCGATGCTTTCGTCGGTCATCATGATGATTTGACTATATTCACTGCATCAAATTTTCAAAATGTCATACCGAAATACCTTTCATTGGTCGCCGATCCCGGCAAAGGTATCCGCCGCAAGCGAAAAATGAAGCCCGTATCGACAAACACCAACAACTCTTTGCAATCGACTAGCAATGCTGAAACCGATTCTACAACCGATTCAGCAGATGAGTCAGCAGAAGATATAGAAATAGATGACGATGATGATGGGCAAACACTCAGCCGATATGCCGCATCGCGCGTGGCCGCTGAGTTGGCCTCCCACCAGACAATGAGCATTGTAAATAGCGAATTGACTTCGCGTAAGGTAAAAGACTTCACAATTCCCACGATGCGGGTGCGTGAGCCGGTATGTCGTCTGCAAATACGACACATGATCTACTGTCTGAGAGAATTCAAAATGCTGCAGCCATATGCCATACAGGAGCCAATTATATTTCAATATCTCAATGAGGTATTAACCGTAGCAGCTGCACTCACAAATCTTCAGAGATAGAAGTATGGCGAGAAAATGATTTGAGCATAGTTAGAATATCGGTTAAACAAGAAAGAAAAGAACGAACGAAATAAATGACAGGCGTCTGCAGGTGAAAGTTTACTGCAACGCTTCTGAATTTACGCTTAATGGTTTAGGGAGAGTAGCTTGTCGAAACGCATGCGTTGATGGAAAAGGTAAAATTAAGTGAATTATTTGAGAGAGCCCAACGCTTTTCAAATTAAGTTTTGGCTTAACGACAAACTTAACTATCTCGCCTCATTAAAAAGAGTTTTATTTTAAGGTATCTAGTTTTTAAACTATTTCTGACGACTGCATTGTACATTTGCAAAATTGTCGATATTCATTATAAAAAAAAATATTGTAATATCAGCGCATATGTTTGCTATCGCTCCTATATTTTCATATACATATTTAAATTATATATCACCTTGCAATATTAACAATGCAACGTCAAGAGTAAGCAATACGCAGTCGCATTAATAATAAAATATAAAAATTAAATATGTATTAGTTACGTATATGTATATTAATTAATATAGTTATGCACATAAAATAATTGTGTCTGGATTATAATGAATCAATTAAATGAAGAAAAAGATTCCAAGAAAACTCTGTGACGAATCTCTTACATTTGATATTTTCTAGTTAGTACCTACATTTTTTTGTAATTACTCTGTTTTGCGTAGTATATTAGCGCATAGTCAAAACCAGTCATCAAAGCATTGTAGACCCTTTTTATTTACTATTTTATAGCTTAGTTCATTAAACATGCATATTTCATTTAATTTCATTAAATTGATTCTATTAATACTTTTGTGGCGTAATAATAATGGTGATTTCGTTTCTTCCAAAAAATGTTGTTCTTACCCGGCGCAAAATGTGTTTGATCTTACACTCAACTCTGTAAAAGGGTATGATTTTGCCATCCTGTCCTTGTCTAGCTCCCGCATTTCATAATATTGTAATTTTGAACAAATATCTGATTTTCAGGGCAACCATCTACCCTGACGAAGCATCACAGAAGCTTCGACAGTCTGCTCTCCTTCTCTGCGCACGCAACCGCTATTGTCAACAACGTACAGAGCCGCAACAAGGTCCTCATGTCGCTAGCCGGCAGTACTTGGGGCAAAGTCAAAGAAACGTTGCTGGCAACATACAAGGCAATAGGCCGGCCGGTTTTAAATTACGCAGCACCAGTGTGGTCGGCGGGGACTAGTAGGACGCAGTGGATGAATCTGCAGACGACGCAAAACACCGCACTTCGGACAGCGACCGGATGTCTTCTGATGTCGCCAGAACATCACCTGCATAATGAGGCGGAAATGCTCCCCATAAAGGAGCACAACACAATGCTCTGCAAGCAATTCTTAGTAGGAAGCCACAGACGTAGCTATATCTATAAAACCTGACGGACGAAGTCCAGAGGTTCATTAAACAACCTCTGGACCCGTCAGCTTGTCGACAGGCTTTAAACGGCATTCGCAGGGACGAGACGGAGCTTCATCTGCCTCGGGAGACTAGAAAAACAATAGCCCAACTTCGCTCTGGCTACTGCAGCAGGTTAAACTCGTACCTGAGCAGATCAGACACAGATATGCCAAATGAGTGTCAGGCATGCGGAGAGAGTACCCACGACTCGAAACATCTCTTCGTATACCCGGGCTTCCGTTGGTTGAGGTAGACAACAACGACTGAGACCGATTAACCGGGTTGTTGTAGCCGCTACAACAACAACGAAGCTTCAGAGGGCAGATAATGTGCCTTTTTTGCCTTAAAAGAGTGTGACATTTTAAGAAAAGAAAACACAATTTTTTTCACCCTTTACCCTTAATTTAGAATCGAACACGAAGTGAGAAAGGGGCAATCAAAAAGCGCAATTTTTTGGTAGAAACGAAATCACCATAAGTATTTATTTTTAGCGTTGTTTTTGAGCTTTGAACCATGATTTGTTTGTTAGGAAAAATGAAAAAAGCAACAAAGACCAAGCGGTAGAAGTTTGCTATTTCAAAGATCAGCACATCTCATCAGCCTTTTTTTTTTGCTAGACTTGAGCACGAATCGATGTGAAAAGTCAGCAACGCTAAACCAATAATTTAATTAGAGTAATTTTCTTCATAAATTGTATTTTTATTTAATTTTTTATTTTCTATTTATTTCTTATGTTTATTATAATTTTTTTTCCAACTAATAATTTCGATAACAGTCATCATCTACTATTTTTTTACAGCATAAACTCATTCATCTCTGAGTTCTGCTAACAAGCTGTAACTCCTCCCCATAAACAACACTAACAACAACATCAAAATTCATTTTACTAGTTATACGAACGTTTTTGTTATGACCGCGAACGACGCTAATTTTCCCAAGAAAAATGTTGCAGATTTGTTTGTAATTGTTTGTATGCCACCCCAGCCATTTACGTAAGTTTTTGTTGTAGTTGTTGAGAGTAGATATTTTATATTTTTTAGATAGATATATATATGTACATATGGGGTATTCACAACGGTGCCATAAGTGTCGTATTGCTGTATGTCGTAAACTTATTGTTAAGGAAACTTAAAATTTAACAGTCTGAAAATTCATTATAGGACTTATGGTGTCTTGCGAATCTCCTAAATTTATTTTTAGCCGTTTATAAAGTTTACGACATACAACAGTACGACACTTACGACACCTTTGTGAATACCCCAGTAGCTTTGCTTATTTGTGCTATTGGAGTAACCGGGGTATTTTAGTTTAAAAGAACGAACATTTCATCGGTTCTGAATAACTGAATTATGTGCAATACAACGTGCTGTTTATTAATCATCTTATCTTATTATCATCTTAAATGCTATTTACCTAATTGAGCTTTATGAAATTAAATTCAGCCGCTCCTAAATATAATTCAGCGGCGATAAGCGCAATTTAGCTCATAATGGAAGTAATTCAGCAACATGAAATTCAATCCAACCAAATATAACCATATTTTTTAACATGAAATATTTGTATAAAACTTTGCGAAGCTCCATAACATGGAACTAAGCTTCATAAAAACAACCCTATGCAGCTAAAATCAATGCAGCGCAGCTTAATTCAATTCAGCGCGCCTAAATTCAATTCGGTGCCGCTTAATTCAATTCAGCGCAGCTAAATTCAATTCAGCGCAGCTAAATTCAATTCAGCGCAGCTAAGTTCAATTCAGCGCAGTTAAATTCATTTCAGCGCCGTTAAAGTCATTTCAGCTCAGCCGATTTCAATTCTGCGCAGCTTAATTCAATTCAGCAATTTAAATTTTTAGTTTGAAGACACCTTATATTAATTTCTATTTGTTTGCTTCCTATTTTTAGTACTTTTGTTTTGTCATCACTTCTTTCTACGGATAACAGCACAACGTTACTAGTCCTCTTTTTCTACTCGACCTCATTTGCTTAATTACTGCAATATTACGCAAGTATTTATCTACTACATCAAGTGCTCGCAATTTTTTTAAATCTGATATCTAAACAACTGCTTTGGCCTTAACTGACTGTCGCCATTAAGCAACAGTCGCCGATTTGGACATTCCTTCGCCATTTACACAGTTTTGAAAAGTTTTCCTTCAAGTTATGTTCGCATGTATGGCTCTTTGCACGGACATACTTGCATTTAGGTTAATATGCGGGCGATTGTTTACCGTTTGCGAATGCCGCTGCAAATCGGTATATTCGCAGAAAAGTTTTTCAAAACTAATTAAAACGATAAGAAGTTCAGGAGGGAAAACATTAAAAATAATGGGACCGTTTACTGATTTCTTGGTCAATGGGTAAAGTTTTTTTTTTTTTCAAAAATTATCTTCATTAAAAAGACTACAGGTATCTAAAGTAAAAACTGATGAGAAAGGATAGGAAGTTGATTTGGATAGTTGTTCATTTTAATATAAATTTTTAATAAAAATTACGCTTAAGCATCAGTAAATAATTTTAGTTGAATTAGAATGCACTTAAATTACATAAAACTATAAACTGTAAGTTTGGAACAGTCCGCGATTTCCTTACACCAAATTCAGTTTGCTAGAAGCATAATTGAGCGCATCAGAATAAATTTAATCGCATTTCCGTTGTTAAAAAACGATGAATGCAACTTCTAACTATATTCAGCCGCCTAACAATGATATTCAGCAATGCAATATTGCAGCAAATCAATATTTTTTCGCGCTGAATTGAATGGAAAACGCAACGCTTAGCGCACCAATTTAGGGACGGCTGTAAAGGGTAACGCAGCTGCAGCATTATGGAACTGGATTCGCTGACTAGCGCTTTATGCCCCTATATTTGTAATTAGCTGCACTCAACTCAAACTTACCAAAACCAAAAGAAGTTCAGCTCTCTAAGGACCCTAAACCACATTCAGCGCATCGAAAAAATTTAGTTTAATGAATTCGGTTGAACCTTATACATATACATATATGTATTTGCGCATTCAGCTTCATTTCAAAAGTAATTCAGCTTTTTATATACACAATTCAGCGCAAATATTACATGCGTAACTTCTATTCAGCTAATTAAACTCTTAATTAACTGCATTTAGTTCGTAAACATTTTAAGAGTAGTAGAATTTCAGCGCTCTTTGGGCTTTTAACGCACATTCAGCTACACATTTATAAGCTGAATTGAATTCTGAATGCCTGAAAAGCGCTGAATATCTGTTAAACCTGGTAAAGTGTCTGCCAAGGCGAATTAATATAAGGTGATAGCAGGAGTACATAAACTGTCAAAATCTGTAACAGTGTATGTAGAAATACAAACAAAATTTTTCAATTTGATATCAGAAGCCGTGTGGCGAAACACATACACAAAATCAGCTGAGCTAGTAACACCACCTTATATAAATTCGCCTTGGTGTCTGCCTTAAATTGCTTTTTCAAAATTTCACTAATTTTTTTTTATAACTTTTTAAGTTAAATTACTTGCACACTTCGTTTTATAAATTTCCCACAGCATTCGCCAAACAAAATCCTTTCTGAATACAAGCTTTACCTATGTATCTTGATATGCAACTGCCGCCATATGTATTTATGTATACTTATATATCCTTACAAATACGTATGTATGCATGTAGAATATCACAAACTTCACCGAATTCGCCATTGTATAG